TGTCGCCATCTATTGCCTTGTAATTGAAACTATATAAACTGGAGTTTTTATCCTTGGCCTCACATCCTGCAAGGTTGCCAAAAATATGATCTATACATAAAGAAAAATAAAAGAATGGTCAAGTCAGAAAGATTTTACACTATTTATAAATTTCTACAAAGCAGTGGCAGGCTATTCTCGTGGGTGTTTCAGGCCTAATTAAACATAATTATCAAAATAAATATTTAATATGTATTGATATTTTACAGTGTTAGACTCGAGGATGGACGCTGTCCACTCACTTTTTTGGAAGGTCGTATGGTGTCCATCCGCTATTCTTGAGGAAATAATGCTTTTCTTCAAACTTCTATGTTTATTGTTAGTTGTCTCGGATAGTAGTTGTGTTATTTTATTTCCGCAACCTACTCACTATTTCCTGTAGGAGACTAACAGCGATACTGTTACGACAGCGGAAGTCACGTGACGTTGCTGGCGCATGCGTGACTAAGTTTCTCGAATTATCGAGGAAATCCGAGTATGATCTAAACGCCTCTTTGTTAGTATATAGGCCTGGCATAGAAAAGCCAGGGGATGATAAAGCGAACAGTAGCTACGGTGAGTTTCGGGTAATTTACGATTCCGTTTCGTGCTAGTGTGTGTTTTGCACTCGTAGAGAGCAAACTTGTCGATATTGTGAATTGCTGCGATTTATAGCGTGTATTATAAAAATTATTAAGTTTAAAGTGTCGAGAAAGGTACTGACTGTGGAATTACCGTGTACTAAAAGTTTGTATCAAGAAAGAATAAACTGGTTTAATCAAGAAAGGACTTGTATCGCGGAAGTTCCTCGGAAAGAATTTCTACCGGAAATTAACAAACAAGCAGATACGCAACAATACTTTAATTAACTTGGTGAACTGAAAGCATTTTAAGACACCTGTTCTTGTAACAAATGGCTTATATAAATAGTGTTCCGCCCACTACTGTGTCCCAACCGGTCTGATGATCTCTGGATTGAGCGAAACGCGTCGTCGGCAATGGATATGACGAACATAAGTGAGATTAGAATACTATTATTATAATACACTTTTCTTATTCTTGAAAATCCCTAGGGGATTATATAAAGAATGTAGTGTTTATTTAACTTTATTTGTTAACTTCTGTTAAATCAGGTATTCTCCACCAGAGTAACCAGTTTATCTTAAACAGAGTCAAATGTGTCTTCATGCACTACGTCTAGAGGAATTTTCCTAAAAGTCATTGTTTGTACATCTATGGTGATCATGAGAATCCATCTACATTATAAACTCACGGCTACGGTAATCAAAAAATAAACAAGAGCTATCTGCTGCCATCCCTCATTTTGAACCACTGACAAGAGGGAATAAAACCGGTCAACAGTAACCTACCACCTGTAATCCTCGCTAAGGGATTGGCTGCGACTATTTAAGACTCATCCACCGCTTAACAACAAGGGCGAGGAATATTTGGAGGTATCTTATGGATTTGAACTCCGAAATCCAGAGCTCCTTCACAGGGTCAACCCGCGCACTTAAATACACGAGAATTAGCAGCGACAACAAAAATATGTATCGAATGAAACACGTGTTAATACTACATTTAATAGTTAATTTATGACGTACACTTATAAAGTCCATCAGTAAACATTTAAATACAAGTAAATTCTGGGAAACTGGAACGGTTTATTTAATTACCTTCTCAAGATAGTTGGCTTGGAAGATGAGGAGGAAACGAAAGAAGGGTATTCCAAATCTTTCCGATTGTCTCTCGGTTGCAGCCTCTCGTGTCGTCCAGGTAGAAAATCTTATTTTATTTGATTCTAAGATGTTAAACTTTAACTACACTTGTCTGGATCAGAACACACAAAAACTTGTAAATCATTTTGCTAGGTTCCGTTAAATATTTGTGCGTGTATAATTGATTAAAAAATGTATTTAAATTTTAAACAAACAAAACAGTATGTTGTGTTATATTGAATATTTGGTCCGATAAAAAACAAACAAACATACTGAACACATTTTACACTGATTTGAAGGTTTCTATGTTAGATTTTATACACAATTCAAGAGCCAGGTGTGGCCTAGAAATTAACATGACAGACTGAATGCATTTACGATGGTACGGCCAATCAAGGAACGTATTAGGCCTCTACGTCACAGATTCTCTTTTCGATGTTACTTTTGGTGAAAAAGAAATCCAACATTACACACGAGTTTATTTTAAGTTAAACAGCAGTGAGTTAGAGTGTTAATTTTGAGTGTTTACGTCGCTTGTTTTACCACAAAAATACACAGTAGGATATCTGTGATCTGTTCGCTATGGGGGGGTTGGGGGAAGACTATACTTAACCCAAATTGTTGATTTCAACACCACCATCTGCTTATGTTGGATAGGATTTTTGTGTTCTATTATTAAGCACGACTACACAGGGGCTACTTGGGCAGACCGTGGGTACAGAAACCTGACTTTTAGCATAATATGCCGTTATTATTACCAATGGGGGTGGGGGAAGTTATAAAAAAAATCTAGATAACCAAGTCAGAAAAAAAAAAAGATGTGTAATTTTCCCCAAAGTAATAACATAGTAGGAAGTTATCTGTTAAACTCTATAAATATTGTGAACATTATTTATAATAAAAATACATCATCAAGTCCGTGTTTGTTAAAAAGTTCAGTTGTTTAAATCATTTAGGGCAATAATGTAAAAGTCTGAAAAATATTCAAATAAATGTGTACGTTTTCGAAAGTAATAATGAAGTAGATACAGCTGTTGGTAAAAACTGATCAGTATTATTATTACTTTTTTTATCTTTAGTAATAATATTTCAATATAACTATTTAGCTGTCAGTGTTGTTTGTCCTGGAGTAACTTGCTGGAACTATTATTTGCATTATTTAGCTGTCAGTGTTGTTTGTCCTGGAGTAACTTGCTGGAACTATTATTTGTATTATTTAGCTGTCAGTGTTGTTTGTCCTGGAGTAACTTGCTAGAACTATTATTTGTGCGATTTAGCTAGACTAATGACGTAGAAGGTTTTGGCTGACAGAAAATTGACTTGTTTTACGTAGCAAAATGTTTTCAGTGTTATTAAAAACCTATTAAATATTTGTGTATTATTTCTATAATAATAATGTAGATGAAACTTGATTTCTAAAAAAATTAAATATAGAAGCGGAAATGTACATAAAAATGATTTTGCTAAGCCTTACCGGAAATGCACAAAAATGATTTCGCTAAGCCTTACCTTTAACATTCTTCTTACTCTCGTTATTTTTTTATTTTACTTCACAAAGATAAATATTTCTACATTATCCCCCCCCCCACTGTGTAATATTTTTTATAGTTATCTGTACTTAGTGTTTTTGTTGACAATAAAATCTAGCATATGCAAATTAAGGGGCAGTGGCGTAACTACAAAATATGACCCCTCCCCAGCATTAAAAATTAGTTGGGCCTCTATATTTCCCTGCAACTGAAATTACAATTTGGGTTCCCTTTTAGCTCGTCCCCACTTACTTACGCCACTATTTAGATTACATAAATGTGAATAACGTGCTTTAAAGCACACACAGAATACATGTAAATAATTTTACGATCCCCACTTCAAAACCTCACTATTCCTTTACATCTCATAATTACGTTTATTCAAAAACATGGCTGGCCATATGCCATATTATGTACTTTGTTTGATTAGTTTGAAGAATGTTTATATATACACACTGATAATTTAATATTTCTATAAAAAGCACGACTTCGAAAAGAACATACGTGTAATAACATTTGTCTCAAAGATACGTTTGCAATTTAAGATAATGTACTAATTATTATTATTTCTACTTATAATACACGTAATAACGGTAAGTGTTGTCTACTAACTATTAAAATAAATATTGCAATAAGATCACCACTCTGATTTATCATGCTCTAGTTCTTGAAAATCTCCAAGGAAACTTGACAAATATGTTTTAAACATGTAATAGGCCTAGTGTCCTATGACAAGTATAACTGTAACCGTTCTTCGCTAGCTTCTAAAAGTCTTAGATACCATAATGATTGTTGTATCAAATGATCTTTCGACCACTGCTACGTTTGTTGTATCTCAGCCGGTTTGAAGAGCTCTGGATTTGGCGAAACGCGTCGTCGACAATGGATATGATAAATAGTTTTTGAAATACTAATATTATATTATATTATATATAAAAGTGTTCAAAAATGTAATAGGCCTAATACTAATGTCTTATGACAAGTATAAATGTAATCTGGTATTAAATTATATACATGAATATGTATTTAGAAGAAAGGACGACCTGAATTATGTATTACTTAAATAAAAAAAACTAACAGTAAACACCAACAAATAAACAGTAAATATTATATAAATTCGCCATTTTATTGTAAAAATCATAACTATCAAAATATAAAATGAACTATAAATCAAACACTCATTTTAACGTAATTTAATTTTCATCAATTAATTATTACATGCTTTTCTTCTATATCTTCATCTCTCTACATCTTTAGGCCTACCAAACACGATAATCATACGAGTAATTAGCATATTTGATAAATGTTAACGTCAGACGTTAAACAACCGAAATTAGGATATTTGATGGTGAGCATATTAGGTAATATCAGTATCCGAAATCAATAACGTTTTTCATTTGCATATGATTTAAATATCTAATTTCATGGAAATTTTAAAAGGCAAGATTTTGAACAAAGAAAATTATAGCTGTTTCAATAAATATTATTATCAGCTCAGAAGTTCATTAAATTTAAGGGATTTCTGCTAACAGATAAAACCTGTATAGGAACGAATACAAATCATACATTAGCTTTATCATGTCCGAGTAATTTCAACTTACAGATTGAATTTCAGAAATCTTACCGTTGACAAATGTTTTCTTTAAAATAGAGAAATTTAAGCTAAAAGTTTTAATTTCTACTATCTGTTATAAAAATAATATATATATACATCTTTAAGTATCTGTAAACAAAATAAAAAAATAACTATAGAAATTTGTTTTTACATTAAATCTGATACAACAGACAGATATTAAACTTCTAAAAGTATGGTACTTTCATTCCCGTGTATCTTTCTGTTATTCACAGTACGAATCACCCAATTATAACCCATCTCGCGTGTCCGTTCTTTCGGAGTTCCGATTCTTCTGACCTGGCATTATAAATGGCACGAAAGCGTACTTAGAAGTTCTCGAACCGATGGATAAAACGGGGAAGGATTCGAGCGTTATTGACGGTCTCAATGGCCGTGGTTATGGATTTGGTCAGGGCAGTAGGACCGCAGCTAAACACTCCAATTTTATTCACCTGCAACGAAGAAAAAAAAAGTGACGTCACGATTTAAGTTACTCGAAATAACGAACACGACGTGCCACGCACAAAATTGTAAATAATTCACCTAAATATTGTTGTTTACATATCTACAAACTGAAAATATTACAATAAAAATTATTAAATATCACAGAAATAAATACACAGTGTACATAATTATATTATATAACCGAATGTAAGCGTGACTTGTTTATTGTGAATGTTAGCTATTAGGCCTACTGGTGTCATTGATGTGCCAGTATTCGGCGGAATATACCGTTGAGTAACAATTGATGAATACAATCTGCCTATAGAGGGCTTGATTGCAAACCTAAAAAGCAAAATTATTTCTGAAAAAGGTTTAATTCAGTGTTTAGTCCACATTTACTGTCCAAATTATGTTTGGTTAATCCTAGCTGAAAACAGATAAACAAATACTTACGTGGCCATATTTTTTCCTTATATACTTTAGTAAATTAATCATGTCTGGTCTACCGAAGTGATTGATAGCTTTCAGCCCCGTGAACATGCTCGAATTAGAAATCCTCTGGAAATGGTTCTCGCAGATATACTAAAAATAAATAAATATAATAATAATATCTTAGGAAATTGCTTACTGTTTAACACTAAATAAGTATTTGGTATAAATATTCATAGCGCTAAAAGTGATGGTTATGGTTAAACGCTAGATGTGGTTTCAGCGCTGGCCAAAGCTTAGATTCTCCTTCCCTCAATTACAGAGCCCTATCGCACACATTTATCAATACGCAGTCCAATATCAAAGTCTAATATTCCAACGTGGTGTCTTACCTGTTTTTAAAGGCTAGTTTCTACTAGATTTTAAAAAAGTCACCAGGGCACAGGCCATAAATGTGGAAAATATAACACGTGCCTTGATCTTTGGAGATAGAGCCCATATAGCGGTGAGGATACACCGTCTACCAGTGATAAACTTCAGTTATTAGGCCTCAAATGTAAAGACTAAAATGATAGAGTAAAATAAGAATAAAATACAATGAGTAACATGTGGGTGATCAAGTCCACATCTATATCACCCTTCAATGTCTGCAGAGAATTGTGGGAAGGTGATTCCTCTCAGAAGTGAAAGATAAATAAAGTCGTACCATTAGGGTCAGCGAGTAAGAAAACCTGAAGTTGGCAGTAGAAGGTGAAACTAATAAGGTATTAATTAGTAGCACAGCGGACAAAACAGTTCATACTAGGATAATAAAACCTCTACCGATTTGCCAGAACTAGTGTTATATTTATATATCTTGAATTACAAGTTAATTATTTTATTCATTGTTACTACGAATCGTTTCTATTTATACCCAGTTCGAAATATAGATAAGAGAATTTCGCTTTTAATATAAAGAAGTGGTTTTTTTTTTGGTGAAGACAACTATTCGACAGATGGAAACATTGATTTATACGTGTTAGTCACGTGGAATTTATGTCGTGTGAGCCATGAATATGTTCATCACACTAATGCTGGGAATAGTAGGACATAATGATGGCTTCCCACCGTGATTAGTTGGATGATAACCAATTACAACACAAACTATAATCAAGTAATTGTTTAGTTCATTTTTTATACAATAGAGGAACTATTTTATTCAGTGTTTCCAAAATTATTTCTTATACTGCACTTAAAATTAAGACGGTTTCCTACGTCATTTAACAATATGGATGCTTCTCAGGGCAAAACTAGCAAGTAAAATTATGTAGATACTAATAATAAATATATAAATACTTGTTTGTTTTTGAATTGAGGTCTATCTGCCATTCCTAATTTAGCAGTGAAAAACTAGAGGAAAGGCAGCTAGTCATCACCACCCACCGCCAACTTTTGGGCTACTCTTTTACCAACGAATAGTGGGATTGACCGTAACATTATAACGCCCCCACGGCTGAAAGGGCGAGTATGTTTGGTGTGACGGGGATTCGAACTCGCGACCCTCAAATTGCGAGTCGAGCACCCTAATCTCCTGGGCATGCCAGGCCATGTAAATACAGGTGAAGTGGAGTAACACTACTTACCAACATAATCGTCCTAAGGTCAAATTTATGAAAGAATTGAGTAATAAAGATGTGGATCTCCAACACATTAGTGACATCCTTCTTCTCCACATCCCTCAGAACATCAATGAACCATTCAAAGTGTCGGTGGGAGGGGCAGATCCACAGAAAGTAAACCTGAAAAAGATATAGTAAGATGGTTTTATATTTGGTTCTTTGTTCAAGAAGTTTAAAGACAAGTGTCTTACCTCTAGGCTACACTTGCCGTACACACGTAGAGTGCGACCTCTGGTGTCTTTAAAAATTAAACATTTACTACTTAAAATGTTTTTTTAAATTATTCAGTATTAGTAACAAAACGATGTATAATGGCTTCTGACAGTGTTTACTAAGTAATTTATTATTTTATATTTAACAGTTACTTAGATAATAATTCAATGATAGACGATTACTAACTCAGTAAACGATTCGTTAGCATCTTCGTAGCAAGAGTTAACAGTACAGTAAAAAAACATTAACCTGGAAGGAAGTGTTAACAGTACAGTAAAAAAAACAAAAAAACATTAACCTGGAAGGAAGAGTTAACAGTACAGTAAAAAAACAAAAAACATTAACCTGGAAGGAAGTGTTAACAGTACAGTAAAAAAAACATTAACCTGGAAGGCAATCAGTTTAATAAGCACATTTTGAACTATTTGTTTGTTTGTAATTAACCACAAAGCTACAAAATTGGCTATCTGTTCTCTACCCACCACGAGTATCGAAGTCCAGTTTCTAGCGTTGTGTTGATAAAAAACAGAAATACATCAGTCAATTGGGTTACAGTTTACATAAACCTTTGTTTGCGGAGCATTACAACACAATGTTAGGGTTAATTTATAACATTTTAAGCTTTAAACAGCTCGTTTATTAATGACTTGACTTTCAGTAACTCACGTTTATTCAATAACATTAATATACTGATATTCACGTGACAACTTGTAGTTCGAGTAACACTTTTGAACGGTCGTCTCAAAGTGCAATCTGTATTAACTCACTTTTTTGCAGGCCACACCAGAATACCTATTGGTGGATGTTCCAAATACTAGGTCATTTAGAATTGAGGCGTAAGGTGTCACTCCAATCCCACCCCCGATCATAACAGCCACCTCAAATTCATACCAATCTTGATTGCCACCACCAAACGGACCCTCAAGCCGTATCTGTGGAGTAAGTACATAAAAAAATAACAAAAAATATTACAGTACAACGTAGAATGAAATGTACTACTGTTCTTAAATTAGTGGAAATAACAATGTCATTTAATTCAGAGAAAGTATCCGGAAAATAAAACAAAACCAGTAAATGATCCAATACACAGTTAAACACTGCACATGAAAAATGTAACATTGATGTTAACAATTAATCACACACGATTCTCTGGATTTCTGTTACAGACTTGGCCAGAATAAAAATAGAACTTTAGCGGGAAATCGTGTAATCAGTTTTATTATATAAATACCTTTGGCATTTCTTCTTTCCGAACGTTGCTGGGATCAAAATAATTTCGAAGTTTCCACGTCCATGGACCTTGTGCTTTCACATGGACCGACAGAAAGTTTTCATGTGGTGCTGACGTCAGTGTGAAAGAATGATATTCCTTTCGTCGGAGACCCGTACAGGTCAACCTAACCCACTGACCAGACAAGTACTTGAAATTTGGCGGTCTCGTAAACTTAATTTTCGTGACGTCTGTAGATGAGAATACAATTAAAAAACGTAACTGATCTGAATTTAAACACTACATTCGCAAACTGGTCCATTAGGGATTTTTAAGAATTAGAAGGGTGTATAATGATATTATTCCAACCACACAATATTTGTCATATCCATTACCAACGACGCGTTTCGCTCAATCCAGAGCTCTTCGAGGCCGGCTAAGATACAACAAACACAATAGTTGTTGGACTGAGGAGTTCTGGCTTGAGCGAAACGTGTCGTTAGCAATTGATGTGACAAGTACAGTGTGGTTGGAATACTATTACTGTACACTCTTCTACTTCTAGAAAGTATTTAATGGATTAAATAAAGAATGTAAAGTTTTAAAATATAATAGGCCTAATAATAATAATGTCTTATGAGAGGTTAAATTGTAAATTCAAGATTTCCGAGATGATATGTTTATAAATAACATTAAAACACGAAACAACTACCGTATTGGCCCGATTATAGGGCGATCTCGAATATAAAGGCGATCTCCAATTTAAAAACCATGGGGAAAGAAAAAAAAGTGTCATAACTATGAATTTTACAGCCTAATTATTAATTAAAAAAAAAATAGCCCCTTATATTCGGGCCAATACGGTAATTAGAATGATCCCAGTTAGAAATAAACGTTAACTTTAAAAACAAAACTCGTTTTTGCTACTTCTAAAATATTCAGATCCCATACACTTGAGTAAAATGTAAAATCTGAGATAAAACTGAAGATACAAAATATATCGCAGGTTTTAAATACGCTGTTGTTTTAAAACTTTCAAACAAATGTTTTTTATTCTGTATTTCAAAGGGCAAGATCAGTGATCAAAAGTTAATAGCTTTAATATTCAACTAACATCTCAGTGAAATACATAGACAAAATATTAATTTTTTGACACCAATATCAGGTCAAAAGGGGTCATCAGAAACTACATCACGGAAGTTTACATTTTGTATAAACATTTTTGCACATGTAAACGAGATGATTATAAAATGACTGACCACTATCTAAGATGCTTTCGTGTAAATTATGGTTGTACTTGAATATATTGATTGTTTACAGTGTTATTTCCGAATAAACGAATATAGAATCTGCTTTTTAAAAAAAGTAAAAAAATCTAACTGGGATTTCCTCATTAACCATAACGCAAATTCATTATTTTCGAGAGTTCGAACTATTAACAGAACATATTCATACAGCTGTTCATTCCGTAACGGAATCTAAGCAATAATACTTGAGCAGAGACTGAATTACAGAGGTCGAAGGTCAAGAAACCTATGCGAGCACAAGGAGGCATATACAAGGAATTTGGTTTATTTATTACGTGTCTTCATCATATGTGGATCTTTTTTTCTCGTTGTTTCGTGAGCTATCACGGGGGGATTTGAGGGGGGGGGATACCTGTGGGGTCATAAAGGTCTATGAGCGACCACTTTTATTACAGTATATTCACAGTACAATACTGTTTGCCTCATTATGCTTCTTGATTCTTAACCACCGTATTCTTCAAGCTGTATTGTTTATGTTCTGCTATACCATAAAGTATTGTAGGAATTATTGTTTGTTAGGTTAGTTTTAAGCACAAAGTTACACAATGGGCTGTATGTAGTACCCACTGATAATGAAACCCGATTTTTAACGTCTTGTGTCAGACTTATCGCTGAGCCACTATGTGTGGGGGCTACTGTATGAAGATTACTTTTTTGTTGTTAAAACCTAGTTTGAACACTCAAACCTGGAGATATTATTATTATTATTATTATTATAAATGATGAGAAAATTTCGGGGTTATTTCTTACTAGTAGATTCGAACATTTATTTAATTTCAATGAAATACTAGTTCAATAACTCGGATACCGACTTTTTCTTACTACCTTGGTGGACCTCTCTCTCTCTCTCACTCTCTTCTACAAACAGATTCGTTCCAACTTCATGAAAACGTGACTTTCCAGAAGAACAGAAACCTTCTGATCCGGGGATTCGGCTTCGATGTTATACATTTGTGGTCAGAAATTAGGGAAATGAGTTCTAGTGTATCACAAAGTTATCTTATAGTCATACATGACTAATAGCCAAGTTCTTTGTTTACTTAAGAGCAAAGCTGAACACATAGGCGTAGGTAGGGTCAAGGGGGCAATTGCCCCCCCCTAATTGTGGTCCGAATAGTTTTTCGGGCAAAAGCTCCGTACATATCTATAACTTATATTTTCGGAAAATATATGACCCACACATGACATTTTCACTTGTACAATTTTAACCCTTTAGCACCGCGTGGGTCCGCATGGATGTCGTTGAAACCATATTTTTCTAAGCGATTTTAAACCTTATAGTACATGTTTTTAAGGTCAATTTTATATTTTCGGGCAAAACTTGCCCGGTTAAAATCAAGCCTCTACACGCCTATGGCTGCACAATGGGCTATTTGTACTATGCCCGCCGCGAGGATCAAAAACTAAATTCTAGCGATATAAGCCATCAAGATCATTGCTGTAATACCGGATGGCTGTAACTGAAGTATGCCACACAGATGGATGGACGCCTTTCAATCCTCTGGGAGTCTCCGCATTTTTTGAGTTAACTCACTCTGCAAGTTTTGCATTAAATGTAACAGTTAGTTGTTCAACTTTTCGTTTGTTTTTTCTGAAAACGAAACTAAAAATAACATTTGAACATCACCTTAGACTGATTTTCTATATTGAAAATAATTCTTCCGTACAAATCATTTCCCAAGTATAAAAACGCGGGTAACACCGGGAACTACCGTACAACGTCACTGGGCATGCGCACACAAAGGATTATGGGATACAACCACTTCCGTTTTGTAATATGTAGTAAATTGTTCATTCGATGTTACTGCAGGCTTTTGGCAATTTATGAAAACGTAGTTCGAGATTTACAAAATTACATTAAATTCAATACGACAATAGGCTGGCAAGAAACGATTTGTTGGCTCAGTAAATTGACTTTTTTTTTAGGAGGGGGGATACAACTTTTCGACAGTCTTGTGTTCTGCCGAAACATGTAGTATGTTCCCCTCCAAAAAAATCAATTCGTTATGCTTATGAATCGTTGTTTGTTTGTTTTGAATTTCGCGCAAAGCTACACGAGGACTATCTGCGCTAATTTAGCAGTGTAAGACTAGAGGGAAGGCAGCTAGTCATCACCACCCACCGCCAACTCTTGGGCTACTCTTTTACCAACG